CAAAATTGAGTTTGATGGGGGAAGGCATCAATCACCAGCTGATCCCTGAGCAGAAGCAGCCCGTTCCCCTCCACTGTTTCTTAGGGCATGTTTTATTGGCAGCACTAAGGAGAGGAATTTTTCTTTGCAATGTTGCTTCATTCTCTGGTTTGTTAGTCAGAGTCTAGGAGTCCTGTGACTCACCGCAGATTCAGTTTGTGAATCAGTTTGATTTTCCTCTCTTGCTGTTGATTTCTACGTCTTCTCCTGAAGATCTTTCTGTTCTTTCTGTGAAAACAGGGGGTGCAGCAGCATAGCTACACTAATTATATTATTCAGATGCTCCTTGACCACTATCCCATTCTGCTGGGCAAGATAACTGTCTTTTTAGGTCTGCATCAGCTGTAGGCCAGGAAAAATTGGACAGCGCTTGCTCCATCCCTTCTGGGGAAGGGAGGTTGGCAATGAGCAAGAATAGCATCAGCCAAGAAGAAGATTACAGAGTGATTCAAAGCAATGCTGCTCTCCCAGCACAATGTTTAGACTAGGTGAGGTAGCTGCCCTTCGAGCCCTAAGGGCGAGATAAAACAGCAGCCACGTGTTTGCTGGGGAGAGGGCATTGCGGGAGGGCCTTGGTGATACACTGTGTTTCAGAAAGATAGGGAAGTTATTCTCTAACATATAATGTTATTGATATGTTCACTGCTATATTCAGCCTTCTGAATGTTTTAAAATGCCTGCAACTCTCAAGCTGCTTTTCTGCAGTATGAGTAGGTGTTCTTCATGGCAGGCCATGCTTTGAGCTCAAAATAAAACCCCTTTGCTTCATTTGAATTGCCACAGGCTTTGCTGTACAGTTTTGGCTTTTCTCCAGTAAAAGCACTGAAAAAGCCTGGTTAACTTTTGCATAAGTAGGTCTTGTTTCTGCTACTGAAGGTAAATATTGGAAGCTTTTAGAGAGAAGACTTTTAAATCAAAGAGCCAAAACAGTGGCTAATTTGGCAGGATGGTCAGAGAAAAAAAATATCAATCATTTTACATTTAAACCTTGACCTCTCTTCAGGATATCTGTTACTTAACTGATAACTAACTATTAAGAAATAGATGTCATGTGTGTATCAGATTTAGCTTTCCACAGCTCCACTTGCATTTAAGTCATACCCTTTCTATACCTTGTGAATATTATCCTAGGCAAACCCAGTTGCTGCTGTGAGAAGGGTGGAGCTAAATTCCCCAGTTCCTGGGAACAAGAGGTAAGTGGCTTTGCCTTGCTGCTTCTCCACTGGGCACTTCACTCGAATTTGCTTATCACACTTTATCTGCTTCAAGGCTTTCCTGTGAAAGTGCTGTTTGCAACCACTGTCTGCTAGATAACTTGTAATTCTTACACTGCTGCCAAGTGATTTGGAGGGAAACAGTCTTGCTTGGCTCAGCTAAATTTTGGTTAAAATAAGCCCTGCCAGCCTTCCTGTCCGTTTGAGTAGATCTCCATAGCGCAGACTTGGCGTGGGAGGGAAACTCGCCAGGTTCTCGAGAACCACACACGTCTCTGCGGCACAGCCGTGCAGCCAGGCTTCCTCTGTTTATTCTCTGAATCAGAAAAGGCAATCAGACCTGTTATGGGAAATCAGGCCCGACTCTCGTAGCTGCACATGCGCTGCTTCCCGCTGAGTGCACAGTGTGGGCACTACCCTGCTATCAGCAGGCTTTACCCTTGCCTTAGCTTAGTGTGGCCTTTGACAGGTCAGTCAGCCCGTTGGTTCCACGTACATTTATATAAAACTTAGCTAACAATGTAGCTGCTATGTTTAGCCCATGTTTATGAAGCACTCTGGTACTAAAGCATGAATATTTTTAACTTCCTGCGACAAATGAATGTTAATAAAGTTATTGTTCCATTCTTAG